TGATTTCCCATAGATCTTTTCCGGACTCCTCTAAACGATATGAATTTAGTACATCGTAGAAATTAGCAAAAGAAAACTTTAGAAATCGAAAAATAAATCCCATTTTTATGGTGACATTTGCACTCGGACTCTTGAAATGTGATTTAATCAATATTTATACAATCAATACGAATTTCTTTACACTCCGGCTGAGATCATATTTGCATCCATGTACGCCGCCATGGGATGTCTTGTTTTTATTGAATCAGCACCGTTACACGAGTTGACTTTGGGGTAGCATTTTCGATTAACTTCCTCTTTTCCTCGACAAATCTTACTACCATTCACCCGAGAGATTATCTCTTGCTATCACCAAATTAATAATCAATGTAAGGGCTTTCAGCCGATGTGCATTTGGTTGACTACAAAAACTGTGTTGTGAGTCAGTTTGGCTCTCTTCTCTACGCCGAACCCTCAAGGTGCATTTGACTCCTCAGCGTTCCATTGCGTCTCCTGTACTGGCCACGAAAATCACGCAATCAGGAGAAAAAATGTAACCCGCGGATTCTGAGAACACGTGAACCGATATTTGAAAAAGACGCGCGTAATTGATGCTAGTGACAAGCAATCCCAGCTGTAGTGTATGACTGTCTGTCAGTCTGTCTGTATAATTTGGATATATCAACAAAGTTGAAATGGTAAATTGGCCACCGTAACGATTACAAAAGCTGACGTTTCGAGCGTTAGCCCTTCGTCGGAGCAAATGTCTGTATGTCTGTATGTCCAACTCAGGTTTTCTATGTTTCTTTGTAAAAACGGGAGAGTATTATTAAACGTCGTTGAGCATAGCATCAGGATTGAAAAGTCCCCAAGTAGGTCAGTAATGAGGTTGGGACAGAATTATATAAAGTTATCTGCCAAGCGGCCCGAGCGACTAAAACCACAAAATTATCGCTTATCCTTTATTTCAGTTTATGAGGAGAGAAAACGATTGTTCTTCAGAACGGTTTTACAAGCTGAAAGGAGCTATTTCACTGAGTGATTATTCATTTGTTACTTTTGGTTCATCACAGTGAGTAAAGAGCAAAGATGAACGAGCTCAAATCTTTTGCAAAAAATCACCATAGCGCGGAGTTTCTCGTCCCGGCCGTAAAGTCACGTGAAAAAAATGGTCCGACTGCAGAAGCACAACATGTACACGTGCCGGAGAAGTTTCATTTCTTCTTTGTCATTACACCTCAGTACCACATCGAAATAAAAAAAAAAAATAAAAAAAAACCAAAAGTTGTTATTACAAAAATCAAAGACGTTGGGGGATGAAAATGCCAGAGTCAGTTTTATTCTCGGAAGAATTATCAATGAATGAGACAGTAATAAAGGTATTTGGTTATAGTAAGAAAATATTCAGCATATCTTATCTTTCCTTTTTCTTTTATTAACTCAAACTCAGCCGAATATCATTTAAGCCCTCGTTGATTGGTTTTCAGTCAAAAGTCATCTGTCAACTCTAAAGAAAGTCTAATTTTAATTGGTAGGTTTGACGATTTTTTATCGACTTATCCATGAAGTATCGTGAAGTATCATCTCCTTGGTATCAACATTTCATATTACAGCAAAAGCCAAGGAAATTTGACATATGATCTATTCCTTTACATTGATACTTTCTTTGGCCGGAGGGCAGGCAGTCGACCACGTAATAAGAATAACGTAATTGGAATTTACACTCCAGTTTATAATTTGGGTAACGTCCCGATCCATTCCA